TTGATATATACGCCATTAAAAAAAGAAACACGCAATTTTAACCACATTCAGCCAACTACATATGCGAATATTTTACCATGTCTACCACCTCGAGCATCAACCAGAGTGTGTCTTGAGTGAGTAGGAAGGTCAAGGTCAATGTCAAGGTCAAGCTAGGTCATAACCTTCATAGAAGATGCGCGTCTTTCCTGACTGTTGTAAAGCCACTGAAGCCCCGGAAAGCAAAAAAGAATAAACCTAAACCACCTCAGCACCTCACCCACACTTCCCCACTCCCTAATCTTGTACAGTTGACCACATTCACACAGTTACGGAACACGTGACCTCCCACAGTGAAGCCCTGTATCGCCGAAAACATCGAACATTTTTTATTGGACCTGACATAAGGAGGTCAAGACGTGATCTAGAGAAGTAAAATCATACATCGTTGGATTCATATCATTCGCCTGCTTCTTGTCGCTAAGCTCTAGCATACTCAGAAACGAAACGGCATTGGGGATAGCAACGACATATGGCCATAGGCCATAGGCCGATGTCAACGACATAGGCCGAGCCTGGTAGCGCTGTTGATAACGTGCCGTTAGGACCCATTTTCATTCAGTAAATGACATAAAAACGGTGGCATGCAATTCAGCACACCACTGGCAATGCTGTGAAACTTGCTTCAACGTAATTCGTTCTACCATGTCTCTGCTAGGTCGCCTGGAAATCGACCGTTTTATAACGTGAGGCAATGGGCGCCGACCGGCGCTGGGTGGCTACAGATCGACCTGACGTCTAACGGATTAGTTTCCCGACTACCTCATTAAGTTTTGTTTGCAATATCGATAACCCATAGAAAGATATAACAAAACAATAATTATGGATGCAAAAAAATATTTTGAACAGTATTGAATGTAAAACAGTTTGGCTTTCACATCGACAATGAAATGCCAACCTTTAGGAGGCAACAAACGCCTGAAGCAATTTTTCTGACATTTCAAAATAGGCGTGGACATTATAATATTACGTTGCTTTTTTGTAAACAAAAACAAAAAAATTACCGGCGAAGCGAAGCACTCTGGTGACATTGTTGCTTAAGTTTCTTGACCAGGAGGGCCACCTTCCTCCGGTTCTTCTGATTGTCTGCTCCACGTTTTTGGAGATGTAATGCCACGCTCTTCCAAAACCTCTTCGTAAGAGGAGTTGCTGTTTTCGCTGATTCCCTGAGCACCTGGAAAAGAGTGCAGAATTGTTAAACGTAGGACAGGTTGGTGTCATTGAATAACTCGCCTCCTGTTTAAACCTACTCGTACAGGTACGGGGACCTGTAGTTGAACTTGAAATGGTGTATCAATGCCTATAGCCAGGGATGCGGAATCGGAGTCGGAGTCGCCCGGAGCCGTGGTAGCGAGCCCGGAATCGGAGCCGGAGTCGGAGCCAACCAAGCTGCCTTGACTCCGACTCCAAAACGCTTATTATATTTTGTGGTATCACTTGCCCATGCTGTCCTGAAAATGTATGGTCTTTCTGGAAAAAAATGTTTTTTTCTCAACAATAACAACTGCTGGCCTTTATATGATAATTGTGTATCCGCGTACTTTCATGGCCATCTGTCTGCTAGTTTAGTTTGGAAAATCAGAAGACCTTGGAAAACTTCCGGCCGCCACCGACGCTGGACGCACCGGATGCTTCTGGTTAGCAATGGTTTGTTTTTATCCTTTGGTGTTGACTTCAGGTATGTCAAATACATATGTAAGTAGATTATTCGCATCAGACCCGCGGTTCGTCGGAAGGTCATGCTGTGCACAAAAGCAACGACAATTTCTTATTAATTGGTATTTAAGCCTTCAACGATAAACGATAATTTCAGGCATTTTTCTTTCAGTGCCCCTTTGACACCTAAGGTCTAAATCCAATGCTTTTCAAATGGGAGCAATTTTAGCGAGACCCTGCAAAAAAACGTCGGGACAGGCATCGGGCGCAAACAACACAGCCATCAGGTACCCCGCAGTACACCCGTGCTCTGCGGTACAGCCTACCTGTCAGGCAGGCCATCTTGATCTTGATCGATCTTGTACCATCTTGTACCATCTTGCCCCGTCCCATATCCGGCGGTCGATGTGGGTACCGGGCTTTAGTCGAAAGAACATTCAAAGAGCTGTCTGATGTTTTTTCCACGACCTTCTAGCCCTTCTAGGTTCCGAGATACAGCCGGATTTGTCCGGAAAGGTCCAAATCGCCCAAATTTGACCTTTGGTGACCTCTGGTGACCTCATTTTTGCCCTGACACAAAAAAAAAACTAAGATAACCCCATGTGAATTCTGACGAGCTTTCGATTGCGATTGAAATTTCAAAATCGGCTAAGTAGTTTCGGAGAAAAGAGGGGGGCATAAAAAGCTCCCCCCCCAGTGGGACGTATGAATAGCCATTGGGGCGCTGGTTAACATGGGAGCATTCGGCGAGTCTATGTTTGCGATTGTCTTCCTGTCGCCAACGGTGCTGTACGTATCTAGCAAG